TTTCACCTCACCTGAAAACTTGCTATTTCTTACCCCTAGGAAGCCTTGAGCAAACCTTTTTATTGCTTTTTTTAAAAGGTGAGTTTAAGCTCAAGGATTTGAATTAAGTTTCATCCCATTAATAGTGACTGAGCATTTTGAGTGTTTAACACAATCAGAGAAAAGACAGAAATGTTAATTATGAGAACAATCCACACCACTGGTTCTCATCCTCAGGTGATACATTATCTGGTGAAATTCCTTGCTCAAGGGCTTAACACAAACCCAACTTGGAAACAATGAATGAATCCTTCTAGAACTTCTAGCACATTGTATCTACTGGGTTGGATATGGTTCTGTGGCTGCTCAGAAACACTTGTGTCTTCTCAGCTGTCAGTCTACAGCTCTGGCTTGTGTGTGCAGTGTGGGGGTTCTGCACTGAACTTGGTGAAAGCATCCCTAGATTAGATAAATGTGTGGATAACTGCTCTGACTCTTCCCTAACTGGCATCCCAGCAGCTAGCCCACCACTAACCACCTGTATCACCCATCACCTTTCCAAGTTTCAGTCTATCTTTAGGATATGTTGGTTATTAGTAAAACCTGGAGAAGTGGAATAACTCTACCGAAAGTCCTAAGTAAAGAATCTATTGAAGGATTTTCGCATGCTCAGTGGCAGATCCGGGTAGCAGTATCCCTGCAACACAAAGAAAGGAGACGACAGACACAATGAGAACAAAGAACTGCTGGCTTCCACACCAGCGAAAGAAATTGGGAATAGGCACGTAATCGTGAAGACAACAAGAATTAAAACGCGAAGAAAAGCAGTCATTTTGCTGCAAAATGTATACACTCTGAAGGAGAGAAATAAACAGCCCTCTCCTCCCCCACTTACTCAGCACGGTCTATAGAATACACCAAGCAACCAGTAGTCAAGCTTTAGAACTGTGTTTTCTAAGTAACAATTACTATAAAAAAGGAAGGAAAAAAAACCAACTGTCATTTAAAAAGAAAGCACTAATTGAAATGCACACATAGAAGAAAAACATTCTGCTTTGCATGTCTGTTCTGCACGAGTCTTCTGACAAGACCATTTGGCCTCTTTCTGTGTTTTAAAAGTACGGACTTACTCATGTCCGGAGACATTTTAAATGATTATTTCTATTAAAGCCCTTTTTTTTCCTTTCTGCAAGTTGCACATATGCACACACCAGAGACATTCAAAATGCACAGGCTTTTCAGTTGGGATCCCCAGGATACTGGTCTCTTTAACATGTAATTAAAGAGGTTGATGGTGTCAAGGTTTTAATTAAGCAGTCTTGATTTTTTTATTTTGATGCAAATTTGTAAAGGGTGTGTGTGTATGTGTTAAATTTCATGCATAATTGCTCAATTTCAAAGTGCTTTTACGTTTTAAATGAAATATGAGGGTACTTCAAGAAATTCATGGAAAAAGTTAAACTAAGTTTATTTTGGTGCAAAACATTTTTAAATCCATGCATAGTATTCAAAATACACATTTTCCATGAGCTCAGAAATAAATCCCCTTGTACATAGCTGATTTCAGAGATATACAAAGAAGAAACGAAAAATAAAAGTGCATGTCTCATTAAAACTTTGTTTTAAAGATACTTTTAAATGTCATAGGATAATAAATATTTATATATCACACATTCAAAACCAGATTTTTAAATGTATATTGTGGGACCATACAATAGCACAGCAATAACACAACTGGATCCATGTGGGGAAGATCCTGGGTTCACGTCCCGGAACCTCTCTGAACATGCTCAGCACACATGTAGTGCACGCCTATGATCTGTGCCAGCTGAGACATGGGGCATGAGGACCCTGTTGGTGATGTCTGTCTCTTTCTCTGTCTCTCTGTAGAAATAGATGAATAAAATGTTTTTAGAAGAAATGCATATTTCTCCAGTAACTCTATTCATTATTAATGAAATTTCAGAGATTCAAATCTAGTGAATTTTTAAAAAGTAAAGAAACTCATTTTCACTAGTATTTTCACATGTATCTTCAATAATATATACAGATAACCAGGACCGGCAGGTGGCATGGTGGTTAAGAGCACTGGACTCCCACATGGTTGACTGTGGTTTGAGTCCCGGGCCTGGCAGCTTCCTTTCTCATTTTTCTTCTCTCTCTCTTTGTCTTTCTCACTCTGTCGCTCTTTGGTCAAATTAAAAAATAAATAAATAAATAAAATAGAGTTAAATAGAATAATTCTTTAAAAGTATCTACAGAAAACAAGTTAATCCAGGGACCAGCAGTTAGCATAATGGCTATGTCACTGGACTCCCACGTAGTCGACTGCAGTTCGAGTCCCAGATCCAGTGGCTTAAACTCACGCCAGGCGCGTGTGTGTGCGTGCCCAAGATCCTGAGAGGAGAATGGAGGAGAAGGGATTGCGGTGTGGCCATCCCCCTGGGGGGTGACTTCTCACTTTCTGTTTCTCTGTCTCTCTCTCTCTGTCTTTCTGACGAGCACACGCGCTCTATAGTAAAAACCTCTCAGGAACCAGCAGTTAGCGTAATGGCTATGTCATTGGACTCCCACGTAGTCGGCCGCGGTTCGCGTCCCAGACCCAGTGGCTTAAAACTCACGCCAGGCGCATGTGCGTGCATGCCCAAGATCTCGAGAGGAGAATAGAGAAGAGATTGCGGCGTGACCATCCATCCTCCCTGGGGGGTGATTTCTCACTTTCTATCTCTATATCTCTCTCTGTCTGTCTGGCGAGTGCATGCACCCTATAGCAAAAACCTCTCCCCCCCCAAAAAAAAAACAACAACATACCTCTCCAAAAAAAAAAAGAAAACAAGTTAATCCAACAGAATTGTAAAAGCAGTATAGTTTCATAAATATGTAAATATACTTCTCCAAGGAAATCCAGGAGAAGCCTGCTTTTCCAGTTTTACATATGAACTAACAACAAATTTAGTTTCCTTGCCCATGTTCAGTCATGAAATTCATGGCAGTTCTTAGCAGTTTCTAATAGCCCAACCCCATTTCTCCTTAGACCTTTGCCTTAGAATTTAATTTCTCCTAGAATAAGCCTCAAATGTTTCAAATGCAGATTTTCAGTCAATGGACCTGACACACCCCGATATGAACACTACATTAATTCACGATCATAGATCTAATTACTGCAAGAAAAGAAAAATCATCTAATGCGTTAACTGAG